AAATTTCTCCAAGAAGGATTAAAAATGAGTATTAAATAAATTTTATGTGCATTATATATATAAAAAATAGAGAATAAGAGAGAATAAGATATTTTAATAGATAGTTTATTGATTAGATAGATATTGTGATCTTTGTTTCTATTTTCTATATTCTTTTTTTAAAGAGAATTATTTATATTAGAATTATTTTATTGAAAAAAATGATTAAGTTTTACAATAAATTAAATTTTGCTACACAATAACATACAATATTCAGTTTTGCATTTATAAAACAGTCAAATAATTATATAAAATTGCAGATATTATTAAATTTTTTCGCAACTAATTTCCAATCAATTGCAACTTTTACAATATATAAATTTTTATCAATATTAATAAAATGAAAACAAGTAAAGATTTATTTCAGTGTACAATTAAATTGTACTGACGATATTAAAGATTATAAATATTAAATAGAAATTAATTAAAAAACAGATTAAATTTTTATAATTTTTATTATATTTAAAATAATTTTTTAGAAAAAATAACATGAAAGAAAGAGAGAAGAGAATTAATATTTTTAATAAAATTATAATCTATTATTTCCTGAGATATAAATAATATATTCAAATTCAAAAACACGAATTATTAATTATTATTACATGAGTCATTGAAGTTTTAAAATTTGCAAATATACCCAAAATATTTGCGAGTTTATTTACATCTCATTATTGTAAATAAATTAATGTTTGCTTCAGGTAAATATCTCGAAAGAGAAAGAATTAAACAACCTATTTGTGTGTGGCTGTCCTTATTTGTCTAAACCTTACTGATCTAATAATAAACTTCGAACTCATACATATATGTTCTTTCTTTGTGTGCGTTTCACGCTTAATGTTTAACAATTCGTTATTTGATGTCATTAATTGATTGTTTTATCAATTATAGAATTGCACAAGATACCAAGATTAGTTTTGATATTGTCTTGTCTTGTCTTGAATTTCAAAACAAGACAAGACTTTTAATTAATTATCAAGACAAGATTTTTAATTAGTTATCAAGACAATACCAAGACTAAGACTGTCAAGATTATTAGTTTTGTCAAGATTATTGGTTCTCAAAAAAATTAAAATATTTATATTTGTAAATGAAAAAAAATCACTATATATGAATTTAAAAAAATTGTATTCGATAAAAACATTTATATTGATAAATTTAAAAACATTTAATATTAATACAATATAACATTTTTATAAATTAGAAATCAAACTCGCAAATTTTAGACATTAAAGAACATTTCCCCAGGAATTGATGCACATTAGTGCTTTTAAAGATTTACATTGTAATCTGGTTCTATTTCTTGACATAGTCAGAGTTTCTATTGAGACAAGTCTTTCTACTGGCACGGACGAGGCAATTGAACTTAAAATGTCTCAAGCCATTTTTGACAATGTGGGATAAATATGAACCTGATTTTTTCACCACTCCAAAATATTTATATCTGAACATTCCCTTGGAGCCTGTAAATAGTTATTAATTTCTGTTTTCCATGAAACAGTAAATGTTTTTTTATGTAAATAGACGGCATTTATCAATTACATAATAATCATTATAATTAAAATATAATACAATAGTAATAATTATTTCAAATTATATTACAAAAATTATGTTAAATATTATTTAAATAATTTTTTTATATTAGATAAAAAATTGTTAATAAAATCGAGACAAGACAATACAAGACAAGATTTTTGCTACCAATATTCACTCAAGACAAGATTTAAATTTTTTAAAATTTTCAATACCAATACAATATTTTTACGAATATTGTCTTGTCTTGGGTCTTGTGCAATCAATTAGTAATATACTTCACTTATTTGGTAAATCTTATTCTTATTGCATGGTTTTTATTTTTAGTTTTTATGTCGTCACCGTCAATTCAGAACTTCGCGGTGAATACTCAGAAGCCTTTAGAAAAGTCGAAGCAGCCGAAAATTAGGTCTAAATAGAATGACACATTAATTCTATGCGTTTTCAGATATATTTACTCCTAGAAAAATGCTTTAGAATGATTAATATAACACACATATCATGAAGACAAATTAATAAATATTTACAAGGGTCACATATACCTAAATGATCCATTTTACAAGCATAGATATTTCTAAATGATTCATTTTACAAGCATAGATATATAATCTTATTTTTTTATGCTTTTTTTTTTAAATCTGTACAAAATTATTTAATTATATAATAATATCTTAGCAGCTTTGAAGCTTAATTTAAAAAAAAATCATTTATTTTAATATTTATAATTAAAAATCCAATTTCTCAGATATATTTTCGTGGAAGAAAAAGAATGATTCAAAAGTGATGGAAAATCGGCGGATTAAAGAAAAAAAATGTGTAGAAATAGATAACACTAGACATTTAATATATGAACTTATGTGTAATGTACGAAGCTCTTCACTTCAATGATGCGATAATATTTTTAAGAATAAAACGTCAGTAGATTGTCGTCTGTAAGCTCAGTGGTTGACTAAAGGAGGCAAGTCCCGCTTCTAGAATATTATCTTACGAAGAATGTATATAGCATGAATTATGACGCAAATATAACAAGTAAGAGCACATCGCATCGACGTTGCGCCTCATTCGCGCCAATAAAATCTTGCAAAACAATTTGCAATTTGCATTTCTCTTAAGATTTGACACCAATAAGACAGCAGGAATATATCGGGCAACTGGCGCGGCGCCAGTCTGCGATATCGTTTGATAAACGTTTGGCCTTTTTATTTTTTTAGCCTTTTTCCTTTTTCTTTTTTTTTTTTTTTTAAACATTGCTGCAATATCTCGCGATTAAATTTATCTTCCCCACCATAATCGACTTAACTACGCACCGACATAAATAATCAATGGAGATTGTGCAATACCTAAGTCTGATAATAATGAGATAAATGGTCATTCTCGTAAAAAGAAAGATAAGCAAATATAAGTCACAGAAAATTTTTCCACAAAAATGTGATATGTTAATTTTTTCAATTTTTTCAATTTTTTAAATATTTTAATTATTAAAATTTTTTTAATATTATTTTAATTATTAAAATTTTTTAAATATTATTTTAATATTATTTTAATAATTGAACTTGTATAATTCCACGATTTATTAAGATGACTCGTCATGCTTTAATTGTTTCGTTTCGAAAATTATCAAACCATGAATTATTAATGAAATGATACGATGTCAATTGTTCCTGCCAGTACATTTCCTTTAAAATCGATAGCGAGAGATAGATTGTTGGCTCTAATATCCACAGTGGAAGATTTGTAATGCATGAATGTGATTTATGTTTATCATAGACGATATAATAGCTAGTCGCTATAATGGTCATATCACGAGATCATTGATGTTATCTAAATTGCCCGATAGCGCATATCACGTGTCGTACATCGCTATCATCGTCGAAACGTGAATACTACACGTGAACGTCTTCATCATGACCACGATATTTGTCCATGATTCTGCCAATGGACTTTACGATATTAATATATATATACTTTATGATATTAATTTATAAGTCATTTGAAATATTTGCGAACTCTGCTTACGTTAAAATATCTTTATGTAAGAGTCTTTTAAAGTTTTATAAAAGGATTAAAAGTGAGAGAAGACGACCTCTCTAAAATCAGAAATTTTTTTAAGAAGAGATTTCCCAACTATACAAACAACCATAAATGTGACTCGATAATTGTAATTTATTACATTTAAATTACACGCCTATTTGCAATATTCCTTATCTAATAATTTCTATTTCCCTCGAGTTTTAAGCTGCAAGCGACCGCAGTCGAAATGCATCAAAGATCTATGCCAAATCTTATTCTCAATATCACCGTGCAAGGTTGTCTTAAATTAGCTACGACATTGCAAAAGTTTGCCATGAAAGCGACTCTCTAAAAGTGAATCAGTGAAAATATCACTAATTGAAACAGTAAAATAAGATTTCACTGAGAATCAGTGAGTATTTTACTGATCTTCAGTGGAAACGCTTATTTTTTTGTTATTTTATCTTATATCTCACTGATTATGGTCGGTTAAAATAAAATTCACTGTAAAATCAGTAAATTTTATTGTAAAACCAGTAAGCGCTAGTTCGTTCATTTATCGCTACAATCGCTATCTCTCTCGTATTTAATTTTAGTTATAAGAATTATATAAAGTTTGCAAAGAGCGACATTTAAAATTAGAAGTATTATTTCGATTTAATTTCTGATGCAAGCTCAATAGAGAGGCTTCAGATATTAAATCGTTCTTTATAAGTCGGACAAATAAATATCTGGCGACTTAATAAAAATTATTTGTTCGTTATCTATTGAAAATAACAAATTCAATATGTATGTAATATAAATAAAATAAAATTTTTAATATAATAAATATTTAGTAAATATAAATAAAATTTTTAATTTTATATGAAATAGATAGAGAGATGAATTCTAGTTAAATATTACTGACAATAACGAAAGAAATATTATTGATATTGAGAAATATTACTGATTGAAACAGTCAAAATTATTAACTGATTCTTTCAATAAAATATCACTGATTTACAGTGCTGTACTTATAACTGCTGTAATCAGTGACTATTTACTGTTTTTCAGTGATAATACACTGATTCACTTTCAGAGAGGACTGTCAAATTTCATTTTTATATTTGTAGGACGTTTTACATTTTTCTGCAGCATTAATATAATTGCGATATAATAAATTTAAATAAAATTGACTGATATATCTTCAATAAAATATTCAACATCTTAATTTAATATCTCAGTTTCAAGTGGAACGCTTATCTCATGTCATTCATGTGTTGAATGCTGTAATTACTATACACACAATAAGTTTGATTAAATGAACAATTGCGCGGCATTTAAATGACGCACGTGCGTGGGAAGTGGGATGTCGATTATGGAGGGAGTGTGCGTGCCATTGGTCCGGCACGCGTGCGCATCCCCGCATTTTTTTACCCCCGCCGATTCATTTCTCTCTATATATGACGTCACTGTTACAGGGTCGTGGCACTGCTTTCGGCTGCACTCGCAGTAATCACAGCGACGGTGACGTCGAACCACGACAATTCAGGTACGATCACGACATGCACAGAATTTCTTTTACTATTAATTATTGTATTTTATTATTAATTACTGTTGTAATATTTTTCCATCAAAATAATATGCATTTTAAAATAATAGCTAAATTATTTTGAATATGCTTATTGTGTGTTAATATTGTTTCACAGATGCACATTTACCAGTAAATTATTATGTATGTTTATTTTCTTTTGCAAAAGTTTGCAGTATAAAATTACGTTTTCAATTTTTATTAATTATTTATCTTTAAAGAATAGCACTACAAATAAAATGGCTCACTTTTCGTTGATTATTTTTTTCTTTTTACAAAGATATTGAAGGAATTCATTTTGTTAACTATCGAAAACTTTTAAGCTACTTTCTGTACAAATAAAAAGTTCAATATTATGTTATGTCCAATCCATGTACTATGTTACATAATTGTCGTAGAATTAATTATGAGATAAATGTAACTAGAAAAATAATTTTTTCACGAGAAATTAAAATAAATAAATTTCTCTTACATATTCGTTTTCACAAAAAAATATATATAAGTAAAGATTATAATTTAAAACTTGAAAAACACTTTAAAATATCGTTAAAATAATAATAATTAAAAATTATTTTTTATATGTATAATAAAAAATATAAAAAATAATTTTTAATCATTCTTGTCTTAATAATATTTTAAAGTATTTTCCAAGTTTTAAATTATTAATCTTCACTTATATTATGTTTATTATATATATTATTTATTATATATATTTATATATATTATTTATATATATATATATTTATATATATTTATATATATTTATTTATATATATATTTATATATATTTATATATATATTATATATATATATATATTTTTTTTTTCTTGTTGAAGTTTCTTTTGCAATATGAGGTCACGCACGAGGCCACGTGCGGAAACATTATATACTTATACATAATCATGTACACTTATCAGCTACCGGAAAATTACTGTTCAAATCTCCTATCTTATTTACATTCACTTGCTTATTGTTTTAGATTTTCGTTTCTGTTATCGCACTTTATTTTCATAACGAAATCTATATTTGAAGATGATGATTAGTTGATGATGATTTGATGATGATTAGTCTCTTTAGCGAAATAGATAGATTGCAATAATATCTTTCAATTAAACGATTGAGGAAGAAAAAACTTTTTATGATAGAGAAAAACTGGAAATGAGTAGTTAAATTGCATTTGTCAGCTATAATAATTTCAAACAAAATTTGCTTTGACGTTATTTTAATATAGGCTTCAACAATATATGCATATAATTTTAATATAAGACTGGTTGAAACCCAGTTATTGATTGGTCGAAAACCAATATTTTGCATAACGAAAAGTATGTTCGAAAGAGAGAGATCGCTGAGATGTTCTTTATTAAGAGATTTAATAATCTAATCAACCTACAGAAAGACATGGATAGTTTAAACAACATTTATGACAAAATAATAAAGGTCACGTAGTCTCGTGTTTTCCTCTGGTTGTGTTTAGTTTCTTGTCGAAGTCTCACACGGACGCATCAGTTTCCCTCAAATTCGAATCTAGTTAAATAACGTTTTTTTGTTAATGTGACTTGTGCAAAATTGCAAGATTATCGTCTATGCCTGTCTCCTGATTATTATTACATCGGTAAAATTGTTCACACTTTATTTCGTTGTGCTTGTTATATTATTCAAACTGAAAATTAATTGTTAAATTTATTTATAAATCTTTCCAGTATATACTTGATAAGGACCACAACCATATGGTCGAAACGTCGTATTAATAAACTAAATTTCTGGCTAATTCGGTCGACTACACTTTTTTCAACGATCCTTTAATATAGGCTTATAAAGATATATAATGCTAAAAATTAGAAAACTATAATAATTTCTAATATTTTACACTATTTTTATTAAGAAAAGATCTATATACAAATTAGTCAAATATTTTAGCAACGCACACTTGATTATAGAATCTCCTAAATATTTCATAAGTTTAACGATACGTAAGAACTGATCATAATATCATCATAAATATTATATGTATGATCTCATTTGTATTATCAGGAAAATTTGAAAATGATAAATTAATTGCGATAAAAGTTCTTATCTCATCCTTATGTTTTTACCATTAAACTTCGTTCTATTAAACAAAGTTAAATGGTAAAGACATAAATTCGTTCCATTAAACAAAGTTAAATGGTAAAGACATAAGGATGATAAGAACATTGTTTAATGGTAAAGATATAAGGATGACAGATAAGAACTTTTCGGAAAAATTTGAAACATCGGAAAAATTTGATAATGCTTATGTGCTTCGTTCTCTTTCAATATATTTATCCGATATCATAAAACATATATAACTAATATGGGTATATTCCATAAATGTCTCAAAGAGAGTTTATCGTGTGATTACATGTTAGAGAGTCAAATAATGCATAATCATCAGTTGTTGATATGATAAGTCAAATTATTAAATTTTTCATAAGGCGCCGAAGATTGCAACGTTTATTATATTTTGTAGATATTGACAGTATCAGCAACCTGGCGAAAAGTTCAGTTATGGAGTCTTTAGAACAGATGCCAAAATCTGATACCATAAGACTTCGCGATCGTCATATCGGGTAAGTAAAATTTAAATCAACAGGATAAATATATAAGATACATAACGAAACATTTCGCTTCTGGTTCAACGCGCTTTAGGTCTCGCGAAAATAAATAAACAATAATTTCAGCTATTTTATATTTATTTTATATATTTTTTTATATTTATTTTAATTCCAGGCAAGCGTGTAAGCTGTTTTTCAAGTCGAATCCCCTCAAAATTGTAAGGGCCGAGGGACAATACATGTACGATGAAAAGAACAATCGATATTTGGATTGCATAAATAATGTCGCGCATGGTATGTATTTTATTAATTCTCAAGAATCAGACAATCTACTCCTCATAATATCGCATCGGTTATGCATTACACGATAATTGCAAATTTTTAATGTAACGCAGTTCTCTTAAGGATGTTTTATATGTACAATCCCAAGCAAAAAGTAGCTGAAAATTACTATTGACGAATATATCCACTTTTGGTATATTTTCAGTAAGAAATTGTATGGAATATTACAATTTGATCTTATTTTTTAATATTTATTACGTTTTTACTGAAATATTCCGAATTTTGTTAAGGATGTATTGGACGGACCGTCGGTCTCAAAAGTTAATCCAAAATATCAAAAAATTAAAGTTGGGCAGAATACGAATTCTAATTGATCAAAAATTTTTTTAAAAATCACGAAATCATACTTCGAAGTATTCTTTAATATAAATAGGTCTTAATTTCCAAGAAAATGTTGCCACGTTTTATCATCAATATTGCGTCAAACCGATAATCACAATCATTTTTTAATTATAATTTCAAAACGAGCAAGTAAATCGTTCGAAAACTTTGTGGGAACATTTTTACATGTATGAAGAATATAATATAAGAAAATGAAATTTTTATCATCGTTTTTTTATAGTTTGTGAATAATTTACTACCTGTCTCTTGAACGCTTACATAAAATCCTATGTTAAAATCGCAAAATTCAAAAATTAATAACTTTTAAAGGAGCAAGTAAAAAAATTTAAAATAATTCATGACAATTTAGAATGTTATTAAGAATGTTAAATTAAAAATTCACGGCGATCTCATTGATTGTAATACATCTCCAATACATCCTTAATCCAAATGATTAACTTTTGGCAGAAAATTTCGTCTTGTCAGATAAATGGCTAACTTTATTGAATTATATTTAATATGTTTTTAACCAGTTAATACTTGTATAATATTATTTGACCAAATATTTTCTCTGTATCTAAACTTTTGCAAATTTAAAAAAAAATCAAATTCTTGAAAAATTCTAAAAAAATCAAAAATTTTAAAAAAACAAATTCTGAATATTATTTCCATGTGTTTTTGCCATTTAAATCGACGTTATACGTTTCCCATCAGAATACATGTTAATTCGGTGCAAATTAAAATCCTTATAACTTGTGAACGCTTTAGTGAATCGATTTAAAAATTGTACCGAAGATTCTAAACATATGTAAGGACATTCTGTACAATTTTCATTAAATTCTCAATATTTTGAAAATAGGTACAAAACATCCTTAAATAAATTTATTTATATTTATATGTTTATTTTATAAACTATAAATACAAAGAGTACTTTTATTATTAACATTATTAAGGATGTTTTGTATGTACAATTCCAGCAAAAAATAGCTGAAAATCAATATTTACGAATATATTCACTTTTGGTGTATTTTGAGTATGAGAAATTGCGTGAATATTTCAATTTGATCTTAGCTACAGTGCAGAGATGTATTTTTTAATATTTATTGCGTTTTTACTGAAATATTCCGAATTTTGTTAATCGAAATGACTAACTTTTGGCAGAGAATTTCGCCTTGTGACAGATACATGGCTAACTTCATTGAATTATATTTAATATCTTTTTAATCCGTTAGTACTTGTATAATATTATTTGACCAAATATTTCCTCTGTATCTAAACTTTTGCAAATTTTAAACAAATCTGAATATTATTTCCATATGTTTTTATCATTTGAATCGACGTGGTTATACGTTTCCCATAAGAACACATGTTAATTCGGTGTAAATTAAAATTCTTATAACTTGTGAACGCTTTAGTGAATCGATTTAAAAATTGTACTGAAGATTCTAAACATATGTAAGAACATTCTGTACAATTTTCATTAAATTCTCAATATTTTAAAAATAGGTACAAAACATCCTTAATTAAACGCAAATTAATTAATTTGCAGTTGGCCACTGCCATCCGGACGTCGTACGAGCCGGGCAGGAACAGATGGCCTTATTGTACACGAACAATCGTTTCCTTCATGACAACTTGGTGATATGCGCAAGCCGGTTGGCATCATTTATGCCGGAACCGCTGTCCGTTTGCTTCCTGGTGAATTCTGGAAGCGAGGCTAACGATCTCGCTCTCCGTCTCGCTCGGACGCACACCAAGTGCAAGGATGTCATTACGTTGGACCAGTAAGTTTCCCTCTCGCTATCCGAGGTGCTCTACATGCGATATTTCTGTAACATTCTACATTAAGCTCCACGTGCTCCACGTTCCACGTCTGAAATGAAAGTTCTGTCAAGTTAACGAGACGAATATGAAAAGAACTTCCATTGTTCGTGCCTACTTCGGATCGGACTTTGGTCTTCTTGGCGCAAGCAATTCCGCAGTGTTGTTGTCTCGAATATGTTGAATATTTCAGGCTGCGAACAAACTCGAGCGAGAAAATTCACTGCCGAACTAATGGAATCGATTTGTCTTTTGCTTGTTTGCAGCGTCTTTCCACTCTAAATCAGCAGGGACGTCGATGAGCGTCGACGAGCACCGAGATCGAGCGTGTCCAGCAGATTCGGACAAATCGGATGTGGACATCCGATTCTTTTCACCAAGGCGAAAATAGAATTCACCGCCATAAAGATCTTGTCGCTGTTTTAGGTGGCGACGACGTATGTGCCACGTATGATACACACACTATATTTATTTTCTCCTTCTATCGGTGAGGATGATGTCGCTGAATGATGATGGACTGGACTTTATCCGAGAGAAAAAGAGAGAGAGAGAGAGAGAGAGAAAGAAAAAAAAAGTGATAAATGATCTGAGAATGTCGTAAACTAGACAAAGCGGGGTCACATCACACAAAGCGAAATCAATCAGGCTCTATTAGACAAGTTTCGCGTCAGCATTGGAAATGTATAAATTTATGAAAATTATTGTGTGAGATAATAACAGAGAATCTGAAAACAATTATATCGAAAATATAATTAATCTCACAAATATATTATACAGAGTTGGAAAAAATTAATATCAGTGCGTTTGTACTTTTATTGTCGCAAAGTGTTGTAGACAATTGCGCTTTGTCTTATTGTCGATATTAACGAAAGTTCGCACGAATTAACAATAATTACTTGATATCGTTGATCGAGTTTATAAATGAGTAGCCCTCCCGGCAACTTTTAGATATTGTAACCACGGTGAGGTCGTTGGTCTTCGACAACAATGGAAAAAAATGAAAAAGTTGTATTTTCAGGAACTGTGTTTTTTGATTAGATAAAATAACATTTATTTAAAAATATATATTATAAATGAGAAAAGACTATATAATAATCTTTAGAAAATTACGTTATAGCTTTAGAGGGCTTCGAAGAGTTTTTAGTTTCAGTAAAAGCAAAGAGGAAATTTCTGTTCACGTTTGCCTTTCTACTTTTAGCGCTTATCATGGACACCTCACCACGACAATCGATATCTCACCATACAAATTCAACAAGCCTAACGGTACAGGCAAACAAGACTGGGTACACGTGGTAAGTATTTAGAGTCTCAAAAGAATTATTAAATAACATAGTGGAATAGCGTATGAAGAGTTAAATCAACATCTTATCATTTCTAAAAAGTTAACATAGATTAAGATATCTTATAATTAAAGACAAAATTATTTATAACATTAATTCGGCGATTTGAAATATCGAGATTTGAGAAGCACTCTCGCAAGAAAAAATTTTTATTATTAGAAAATTAATATTATTTTTAATCAATATGTGATGGACAAATTAAGATATCTTATAATTAAAGACAAAATTATTTATAACATTAATTCAAGAATTCGACGATTTAAAATATCGAGATTTGAGAAACACTCTCGTAAGAAAAAATTTTTATTGTTATAAAATTAATATTGTTTTCAATCAATATGTGATGGACAAATTAGATATCTTATGATTAAAGATAAAATTATAATGCTGATTCAAGAATTCGACGATTTGAAATATCGAGATTTGAGAAGGACTCTCGCAAGAAAAAATTTTTATTGTTAGAAAATTAATATTATTTTTAATCAATATGTGATGGACAAATTGAGATATTTTATGACTAAAGATAAAATTATAATGCTGATTCAAGAATTCGACGATTTGAAATATCGAGATTTGAGAAGCACTCTCCCAAGAAAAATTTTTATTGTTAGAAAATTAATATTATTTTCAATCAATATGTGATGGGCAAATTAAGATATCTTATGATTAAAGATAAAACTATATATAAAACGCTGATTCCAGAATTCAGCAAATCAAAATATCGAGATTTGAGAAGCATTCTTGCATGAAAAAATTTTTATTGTTAGAAAATTAATATTATTTTCAATCAATATGTGATGGACAAATTAAGATATCTTATAATTAAAGACAAAATTATTTATAACATTAATTCAAGAATTCGGCGTTTTAAAATATCGAGATTTGAGAAACACTCTCGCAAGAAAAAATTTTTATTGTTAGAAAATTAATATTATTTTTAATCAATATGTGATGCACAAATTAAGATATCTTATGATTAAAGATAAAATTATTCACAACATTAGTTCAGAATTTGGTGATTTAAAGTATCAACATTTGAAAAACATCCTTACATAAGAAAATATTTTTATTTTTAAAAAAGTAATATTATTTTAGCATTTATATCATCTGTATTTTCGAAAAAAAGAAGAGTCATATTTTATACATTTGATACATCATCCTGGTTCTGTTTCTCTTAGGCTTCTTGTCCGGATGTGTACCGTGGAAAATATCGATCCAACGATTACATCGACGAAGATCTTGGTGTTAAATATGCCGAAGATGTAAAGCAAATCTGCGATAACATCAAAGCCCAAGGACGCGGGGTTTGCGCTTATATTGCGGAAAGTCTCATATCGGTCGGCGGTCAGATTTTACCCCCAGAGAATTACTTCCGAAACGTATATAAGTAAGCAACTATTTCTTTTTATACAAATTTTTATACGATCTAATTTTTATATGAATAATTTTTCGTACAATTTTTTTATTAGATCTTGATTAAATTTTGTTTATCCACATGAACACACACAATCTAGGAACAGCAAATATGGCATATATATGAATGTAAAAAAAAATACTGATTTTACAGACATGTACGTGAAGCTGGAGGTGTCTGTATCGCGGATGAGGTGCAAGTCGGTTTCGGGAGAGTCGGCACTCACATGTGGGCGTTTCAATTATACGGCGAGGACGTCATTCCCGACATAGTTACGTTGGGCAAGCCTATGGGTAATGGTCATCCCGTTGCGGCTGTCATTACTACGCCTGAAATCGCTCGCAACTTTCGCGACACTGGAATTGAATACTTCAACACGGTCAGTTTGCGAAAAAAAATACTGATGTCAACTTGTTGAAATGTGCTCTCTAAAAGTGAATCAGTGAAAATATCGCTAATTTAAACAGTAAAATAAGATTTCACTGAGAATCAGTGAGTATTTTACTGATCTTCAGTGGAAACGCTTATTTTTTTATTATTTTATCTTATATCTCACTGATTATGGTCAGTTAAAATAAAATTCACTGTTTCAAAATTCACTATTTTTCAAGATAATATCGACAATATTCAATAAACTCATCATGGATGTAACTAACTTTGATGGATTTATCTTCCATCAATTCGAGATTGTATTTATCGTCGCTTTGCATCACAAGATTGCCATCATTAATCTCTTTTTATTTATTATCTTTTGAAAGCTAATCGAATCGATAGCCTCTTAATGACGAAACTTAAAGCGTTGATCAAGGATTATTATTTGAAATATATTTTCATAAATAAAAATGAAAATATATTTGAAATCACACAATCATTAGCAAAATTATCATCTCAAAATCGGATTTTATTCTAACAATGATCTATTTATATGGACAACTAGCTTCAATCTTTTGAAGAGCGTGAATTTTTAAAAAATGTTAAAGTTAATTATAGTCCTTCTTCGCTTCTCTTGAAAAAAAAAGAGATGAGGAAAGACTGTAATTAAATCTTGCTTTAAAAAGTGGCGGATAGCCTTAACTTTACAAACGCGAAAATACATCTGTCTCTAAAAGTGAATCAGTGAAAATATCACTAATTTAAACAGTAAAATAAGATTTCACTGAGAATCAGTGTATTTTACTGATCTTCAGTGGAAACGCTTATTTTTTTGTTATTTTATCTTATATCTCACTGATTATGGTCAGATAAAATAAAATTCACTGTAAAATCAGTAAATTTTACTGTAAAACCAGTAATCGCTAGTTCGTTCATTTACAATCACTCGTATCATACAATATCTCGTATCATATCTCTCGTATTTAATTTTAGTTATAAGAATTATATAAAGTTTGCAAAGAGCGACATTTAAAATTAGAAGTATTACTTCGATTTAATTTCTGATACAAGCTCAATAGAGAGGCTTCAGATATTAAATCGATCTTTATAAGTCGGACAAATAAACGTCTGGCGACTTAATAAAAATTATTTGTTCGTTATCTATTTAAAATAACAAGTTCAATATGAATGTAGTATAAATAAAATAAAATTTTTAATATAATAAATATTTAGTAAATATAAATAAAATTTTTAATTTTATATGAAATAGATAGAGAGATGAATTCTAGTTAAATATTACTGACAATAACGAAAGAAATATTACTGATATTGAAAAATATTACTGATTGAAACAGTCAAAATTATTAACTGATTCTTTCAATAAAATATCACTGATTTACAGTGCTGTACTTATAACTGCTGTAATCAGTGACTATTTACTGTTTTTCAGTGATAATACACTGATTCACTTTTAGAGAGTGTGTTTGAGAAAAAAAATATTTTATAATAATTAAATTTCACTCGTTCACTTCAGTATGGTGGCAATCCTGTATCCTGCGCGGTGGCGAACGCGGTGATGGAGGTCATAGAACGCGAGAACCTGCAGGAAAATGCCTTGCAAGTAGGCAATCATCTGATCGCGGAATTGAAGAAACTGGCAAAACGACGGAAGATTATCGGCGACGTGCGCGGTGCTGGATTATTCATAGGCATTGAGTTAGTCCGCGACAGAATTAAGAGGATACCGGCGACGGCGGAGGCGAAACACGTTGTATCCAGGATGAAGGATAAGAAGATCATCGTCAGTAGCGACGGACCTGATAACAACGTTTTAAAACTGAAGCCGCCGATGGTCTTTTCTATTGAAAATGTCAATCATTTTGTATCCGTTCTTGACGAAGTACTCGAAGAAGTCGATATCGATTTCGACAAGGTAATTGCACACATTTTATATATTTTATATTTATCGGAAATTATACTTATTTTTATTAAGGCAACATGTGCTTTTTGTCATAATAAAAAATTTTTATTTAGAGTAAAATACATTTTTTACATTAAATTTGCGCGATTTAAAAATAATTTAATAATTGTATTTTAATAATTGTTTCAGGAGCAAGAGCCTACTACAACTATTATCAAAGCAACGATCTCCTCCATAGAAGTCGATACAAACACCGCAGTGAATAGCGGAAATTCATTATTTATTCGCGCTAATTAATAATATAATCTGCAAATATTGAAAATACTGGAAATAAATTTTTAGTAATTTTATATATTTAAAGTATTATTATTTTTAAGATAATTAAGATAATAATAGGAGATATTAATTAAGATAAATAATATCGCATAGTATCGCTTATCATATATGCATATGTATACATATATTTTATACTTCATCTAAAACATATGTATAAATACAAATTAGGATTAATTTATTAAAATAAGACATATATGTTATAATTAAATAAATATAATTTTATATAAATAAATTTATTTATTAGTTTCATCCTTCTCTATAAAAGATTCAATTCTTCGACAAAAGTTGTAATTCTATAATTTTCAAATACAAAAATAAATTTTTAATAAAAGTTTATCATGCGCTATAAAAAATTGTTTGTTAAAATTAATAAATATAAAGGTAAGAAAAAACAAAATGGCTAATGTTAAAAATCTGCTTTTAACAAAGAAAACCAAAAACATGATACAATCTCAAAGACATGAGAATTATTGTTGTTCTTGTCACTATTCAATAATGAGTAATATCAGTAATGAAATAAATTTTCTGTTAATAAATTTTAATAATATTTTGCTGTAGTGATATATGTTGTTTATAACTCAATAATACATGACAATTTACTTGAATATATTGAAATCTTTTTATTAACACAACTCTCTATCAAATGTTTATACATAAAAAATATACATTAAAAAAATACAATGAATTTTATAAATAAAATGAATTTCGTGAATTTATATTTGCATAAAGAATTTCTTTGACCTGTAATTTATAAAATATATTCATCTTCTCTCCTCTCTTTTATGGATGTTTCTATGGAATATATTTTAGGAGATAATTTCCACTAAGAGAATCAATCTTTGTGAGAAACTCATATTTTTAGATTTATTCTACAATAACTAATATATCAGAGTCGGATGTCAGGCGCGGTGTCAGTTGTCATATAAAATTACTGCAAATCAGCTGTCGCAATCGGAAAAATGGTCAACTCCTATCTAGTAATATAATCTGCTTTCGTAATTTTGATTATAAGGATGTTTTATATCTATTTTCAAAATATTAAGAATTTAATAAAAATTGTACAGAATGTCCTTACATATGTTTAGAATCTTTAGTAGAATTTTTAAATCGATTCTAAGCGTTCACAAGTTATAAGGATTTTAATTTGCTCCGAATATTAACATATGTTCTTATGGGAAACGTATAATCACGTCGATTCAGATGACAAAAACACATGGAAATAATATTCAGAATTTGTTTAAAATTTGCAAAAGTTTAGATACAGAGGAAATATTTGGTCAAATAATATTATACAAGTACTGACTGGTTAAAAAGATATTAAATATAATTCAATAAAGTTAGCCATGTGTTTGTCACAAGGCGAAATTCTCTGCCAAAAGTTAATCATTTCGATTAACAAAATTTGGAATATTTCAGTAAAAACGCAACCAATATTAAAAAATACGTCTCTGCACTATAGCTAAGATTAAATTGGAATATTCACGTATAAATCTAAATAAATTTATTTAAGGATGTTTTGTACCTATTTTCAAAATATTGAGAATTTAATAAAAATTGTACAGAATGTCCTTACATATGTTTAGAATCTTCAGTAGAATTTTTAAATCGATTCTAAGCGTTCACAAGTTATAAGGATTTTAATTTGCTCCGAATATTAACATATGTTCTTATGGGAAACGTATAACCACGTCGATTCAAATGACAAAAACACATGGAAATAATATTCAGAATTTGTTTAAAATTTGCAAAAGTTTAGATACAGAGGAAATATTTGGTCAAATAATATTATACAAGTACTGACTGGTTAAAAAGATATTAAATATAATTCAATAAAGTTAGCCATGTATTTGTCACAAGGCGAAATTCTCTGCCAAAAGTTAATCATTTCGATTAACAAAATTTGGAATATTTCAGTAAAAACGCAACAAATATTAAAAAATACGTCTCTACTATAGTAAGATTAAATTGGAATATTCACGTATAAATCTAAATAAATTTATTTAAGGATGTTTGTACCTATTTTCAAAATATTGAGAATTTAATAAAAATGTACAGAATGTCCTTACATATGTTTAGAATCTTCAGTAGAATTTTTAAATCGATTCTAAGCGTTCACAAGTTATAAGGATTTTAATTTGCTCCGAATATTAACATATGTTCTTATGGGAAACGTATAACCACGTCGATTCAGATGACAAAAACACATGGAAATAATATTCAGAATTTGTTTAAAATTTGCAAAAGTTTAGATGCAGAGGAAATATTTGGTCAAATAATATTATACAAGTACTGACTGGTTAAAAAGATATTAAATATAATTCAATAAAGTTAGCCATGTATTTGTCACAAGGCGAAATTCTCTGCCAAAAGTTAATCATTTCGATTAACAAAATTTGGAATATTTCAGTAAAAACGCAATAAATATTAAAAAATACATCTCTGCACTATAGCTAAGATTAAATTGGAATATTCACGTATAAATCTAAATAAATTTATTTAAGGATGTTTTGTACCTATTTTCAAAATATTGAGAATTTAATAAAAATTGTACAGAATGTCCTTACATATGTTTAGAATCTTCAGTAGAATTTTTAAATCGATTCTAAGCGTTCACAAGTTATAAGGATTTTAATTTGCTCCGAATATTAACATATGTTCTTATGGGAAACGTATAACCACGTCGATTCAGATGACAAAAACACATGGAAATAATATTCAGAATTTGTTTAAAATTTGCAAAAGTTTAGATACAGAGGAAATATTTGGTCAAATAATATTATACAAGTACTGACTGGTTAAAAAGATATTAAATATAATTCAATAAAGTTAGCCATGTATTTGTCACAAGGCGAAATTCTCTGCCAAAAGTTAATCATTTCGATTAACAAAATTTGGAATATTTCAGTAAAAACGCAATAAATATTAAAAAATACATCTCTGCACTGTAGCTAAGATCAAATTGGAATATTCACGCAATTTCTCATACTCAAAATACACCAAAAGTGGATATATTCGTCAATACTGATTTGCAGCTACTTTTTGCTGGGATTGTACATACAAAACATCCTTAACTTTTTTTCTTATTCTCGAATCGCACATTAATTGATTAATTTCGACTTGAAAATAAAATGGAAAATACTTTCTGACAGAAACTTTATTTACGAATTCTTTGCATAAATTAATTTATACGATTAAATAGTAGCAAAAATGTTATCTTTTGCATCATATATTTTTAATAATGAAATATAACAATCAAATGTAAAAGATGCATTTATTATTTGGAAAGAATTTAAATGTCCTGAGTTAACGCATATTACCTCAATTTCGCCTCATTTTTATATTCCGCTTTTAATTAATTTTTTCGAATTCCATGGCAGAGAGGAGACATTATAAATCAAATAATTGTACTGACATTTTTGTAGATTTAAAAAATTCCTTAATTATCAGTCATTCGAAAATATATAAAAAACAAAAATTAATATTTAATATTTAAATTATCTTAATGCTTATTCCGTGACTTGCAATTCAATAGAATGATAAATCGTATTCATACTCAAAACATACAATAAATGACAAGCGACATCTGATACCGATATATGACTTATAACAGAGCTCGGCAAGAACTGCACATTTCGGCCGATTTTCAGCTGGCTCCGTCTAGCGCGTCCCCCCTTTCTTCACCGTCTCGCACAAAGCCTACGAGCCGCTCGGCGGTCAGGAGCGGGCGTATGGCAATAGCTTTCCACGTCACCCATGAGGTAGTATTGTTGACGCGTTTTTTTTTTTTAAGTGGTATCCCCAGTAGGCCTAATCCACTGATTAGCTAACACGACCCTTTAACTAATTGCATAAGACGATAAAGTTTATCACGTCTTATGCGACTTGCTACATGCCGTATGCAAATAGATGTTCCTGATCTCGCTTATAAAAAATCCCGAAAGTCATAAATATTCATATCAATTATTATTTATAATTTCGTGCAATTAGTTAAAGGGTCGTTTTAGTCATCAGTGAATTAGGCCTATTGAGGATATCACTTAAAAAAAACGCGTCAACAATAGTACTTCATGGGTGACGTAGAAAGCTATTGCCATATGCCCGCTCCTGACCGCCGAGCGGCTCGTAGGCTTTGTGCGAGACGGCGAAGAAAGGGGGGACGCGCTAGGCGGAGCCAGCTGAAAATCGGCCGAAATGTGCAGTTCTTGCCGAGCTCTGACTTATAAGAAAGAGACGAAGTCTCAAGCAACTATTCGAACCGCCTCGAGATAGGCAACAGCTTACATATGAGCAGCAGTGACACATTTAATTTTTAAAATTAAGAAAAAAACAACAAAAAATCAAAATTAAAGATTTTCTTGAAGAGATCCTACGAATTTTGTCTCTTAGATCCTGGAATATCCTTTGTAAAACTTGAATAAACACTTTAAAAGTATTTTATATCGTACATATATATAATCTACTATTTATTGTATATTGTATGTCCCCAATATTTTCTTTTAAACTACGTAGTCTTCCATTTAACAAAGAACGGATTGATTGATTTCTTTTCAATCATGATAGATTTCAATCTTTATTTTATAATTAAGGATATAAGAGATGTGTTATTTATTATTATTTATTTGTTAGTATTTTATAAATACTATTTTGTATATCGTGAGAGATTGAAAGCGCGTAAAATATTGACGAAGGAAACCTGCATATGCTTCTTGTACGTGCAAAAGTTTATCGCGGTTTGGAAAAAGACACAGGCGGAAAAATGCGTCAACGGAAATGTTATTCACATATAGATTTTTGATCGCGTAATCATCATTAGAAAATATGTTGACACCGATATCTCGCGACCTGGATCAAAGTTTGATATTTTTAAATCTTCACTTTTCGTGAAAAATATAATTTCACATTACATCCGCAAATATCTCCTGCTGCATGTCTTTCACTGCCGTTTTAACGTATGATATAATGCAAAATAAAAAGGAGTAAAATAAAATAGTATTTGATGACATAGGAGTATTTATATGAATGAATTCTAGATATTTAGCGGAAATTTAACACTTAGAGAAAATTATCAATGATGTGTTGTAAATTTATAAGTTGCTTTTCTGTTTATTCAACTAAATTAGGTATAACGCAATGAAATTTGCCGCTTTTATCTACATTATGATTAGAATTAGATAAAAATTAGCAAAATACATGCGTGCGAAAACACTCTATTTTTTCGTATGAAATATAAAATATTATATTAATAATAAATTTTTATATTAATTTTCATATTATATATTTTCATCACATTAATCATATTAATCATTTTCATAGTCATATAAATTTTCATACAAAATTTAGAATATTAATTCTAATCTTTAATAAAAAATATATGATGTATAAAAATATACTTTGTAAATAAATGCAAAATAAAAAGGAGTAAAATAAAATAGTATCTGATGACATAGGAATAGTTATATGAATGAATTCTAGATATTTAGCGGAAATTCAACAATTAGAGAAAATTATCAATGTTGTGTTGTAAATTTATAAGTTGCTTTTCTGTTTATTCAACTAAATTAGGTATAACGCAATGAAAATTGCCGCTTTTATCTACATTATGATTAGAATTAGATAAAAATTAGCAAAATACATGCGTGCGAAAACACTCTATTTTTTTCGTATGAAATATAAAATATTATATTAATAATAAATTTTTATATTAATTTTTATATTATATATTTTCATCACATTAATCATATTAATCATAATAATCATATTAATCATTTTCATAGTCATATAAATTTTCATACAAAATTTGGAGTATTAATTCTAATCTTTAATAAAAAATATATGATGTATAAAGATATACTTTGTGTGCAAGTTTTAAAATTTCGCTTCATTATGTGTTATATCACAAAGAAGAGTACTTTTCGATTAATTTTCAATTACATCAAACGCACAACTTGATAAATTTTAATATAATAATTTAAAGACAGCTCTTATTAATATAGATATTAATATGATTTAATCGACTAACAAAATAAATAATATCTACGAAACAAAGTCAAAGTTCTAGCCGGAAGTCCGATGTCACGACCGCGTCTCGACTTTCTATATTGAGGATGTCAGAAGTAATCTATCGCGCACGAGGTTAAAAAAAATTTTGTCACGCGTTTATGAATGATATAGTTTCAAGTTCGTGCAGACACAGAATCTGTGGCCATCGGAGGGTCAAGCTGAGTTGGCACCACTCCTGGATATAAATTCAATCAATGAGAGGAAGCTTCCATTTCGCATCGGGTACTGGCCACAAAACACCATGTGGTCTCATCTTAGCTTGTTCTTAATCGGTAAGTGGACATTAATTTATCGATAAGTAGCAGCTTTTATGACAATTATAAATATAATTTCGATTCTTCAATAAAAGTGTTCAATAAAAGAAACGGAAAAATATTTTTTTCTGAAATTGTAAAATTATGATTGTAAAATCTTTAACTTATGTCTCATATACACATCTATCGTTGAAAATAATTTATATTTTGCGAGAGCAAGTCAAATATTTTAAACAATGTTATAAACTATTATTTTACAATGAAATATACGGATATTACAATTATTATAATTTGGCTGTGTAATTTATCGATAAGTAGCAGTTTTTATGAAAATTATAAATATAATTTCGATACTTCAATAAAAGTGTTCAATAAAAGAAACGGAAAAATATTTTTTTCTGAAATTGTAAAATTATGATTGTAAAATCTTTAACTTATGTCTCATATACACATCTATCGTTAAAAATAATTTATATTTTGCGAGAGCAAGTCAAATATTTTAAACAATGTTATAAACTATTATTTTACAATGAAATATACGGATATTACAATTATTATAATTTGGCTGTGTAATTTATCGATAAGTAGCAGTTTTTATGAAAATTATAAATATAATTTCGATACTTCAATAAAAGTGTTCAATAAAAGAAACGGAAAAATATTTTTCCTGAAATTGTAAAATTATGATTGTAAAATCTTTAACTTATGTCTCATATACACATCTATCGTTGAAAATAATTTATATTTTGCGAGAGCAAGTCAAATATTTTAAACAATGTTATAAACTATTATTTTACAATGAAATATACGGATATTACAATTATTATAATTTGGCTGTGTAATTTATCGATAAGTAGCAGTTTTTATGAAAATTATAAATATAATTTCGATACTTCAATAAAAGTGTTCAATAAAAGAAACGGAAAAATATTTTTTTCTGAAATTGTAAAATTATGATTGTAAAATCTTTAACTTATGTCTCATATACACATCTATCGTTGAAAATAATTTATATTTTGCGAGAGCAAGTCAAATATTTTAAACAATGTTATAAACTATTATTTTACAATGAAATATACGGATATTACAATTATTATAATTTGGCTGTGTAATTTATCGATAAGTAGTAGTTTTTATGAAAATTATAAATATAATTGCGATACTTCAATAAAAGTGTCTAAAAGAAACGGAAAAATATTTTTTCTGAAATTATAAAATTATGATTGTAAAATCTTTAACTTATGTCTCATATACACATCTATCGTTGAAAATAATTTATATTTTGCGAGAGCAAGTCAAATATTTTAAACAATGTTATAAACTATTATTTTACAATGAAATATACGGATATTACAATTATTATAATTTGGCTGTGTAATTTATCGATAAGTAGTAGTTTTTATGAAAATTATAAATATAATTGCGATACTTCAATAAAAGTGTCTAAAAGAAACGGAAAAATATTTTTTCTGAAATTATAAAATTATGATTGTAAAATCTTTAACTTATGTCTCATATACACATCTATCGTTGAAAATAATTTATATTTTGCGAGAGCAAGTCAAATATTTTAAACAATGTTATAAACTATTATTTTACAATGAAATATACGGATATTACAATTATTATAATTTGGCTGTGTAATTTATCGATAAGTAGTAGTTTTTATGAAAATTATAAATATAATTGCGATACTTCAATAAAAGTGTCTAAAAGAAACGGAAAAATATTTTTTCTGAAATTATAAAATTATGATTGTAAAATCTTTAACTTATGTCTCATATACACATCTATCGTTGAAAATAATTTATATTTTGCGAGAGTAAGTCAAATATTTTAAACAATGTTATAAACTATTATTTTACAATGAAATATACGGATATTGCAATTATTATAATTTGGCTGTGCAACATGATATTTTATTGCTTTAACAGTTGGCGTAGCCGTGAGCTACTGCGATCAGCATCGATTTGCCGATGAAAATCATGATTATGGTTGGAGTAAAAACAAGGAATATAAATATACCGTACGAAGTACGACGATGACGAACCTGGACGACCCACATCATGAAGCTACCGGTATTACGATGAAAGGTATTCTCACTATTCAAGCGATGACACCAAACACGTTATATGGAACACTTCGCGAGCTGCAATATGCTCACAAGGAAGAAATACGACCAACAATACAACCACGCGAGGATTCTCAGGAGGAGGATGAAACATATCACAACGTTCCGATATCCGGAAAATCGTTCCAGATTAACAACAAGAATGGAATGATCCAGGAAATGACAGTCGAGAGGGAAGTACCTTTTTGGGAAGTAAACATACTAAAGAGCTTCATGAGCCAGTTGCAGGTCGATTTAAGTGGTCAAAATATAATACCGAGCAAGTATAATCAAATGCCCGAGGACGCCCAACAGCCATTCTCCTCATATAAAGTCATGGAAGACTCTGTCGCCGGCAATTGCGAAGTTTTTTACGATATCCTTCCGTTGGACGAAGATGTTGTGACAAACAGCCCGGAATTGATGCCTCGACCGAGCTTTGACGGAGGCTTTGACGGAAGAAATTTTATTGAGATTAGGAAAACGAAGGATTATAAAAATTGCAAACAGCGACATAACTATATTTATAATCAAACTAATGAGCGTCTGAGTTGGCCGTACACAAAAACTCCATCAGACACATCTGTTTCGGTAAGTTAAATATTGTATAAGCTATTCTATAACTGATAAAGCACGTCACATTATTTAGCAATATTTGAAAAAATTTTCTTTCAAATATTGTTACTTTTCTATGCCAATTATGCTTCAAAATGCAATTACTGTACGCAATAGATTTATTTGCAATCATGTGATTGTTACAGCAAATATCTACGACTCGCATGATTATCTCGGGCAATCTGAGAAAATTTACCACCCAATCGTCTGTGACGCATAGTACTATATTTATCAAATCTGACAGAAAAGACCGTATCATTGGAAACGTTCGCAGCATGATAAATTTAACGTTAGTCGAAGTGAATGATAAACCAGTAGGACAGAAAGCGGAGGCAATGGTACCAACCGGGAACTTAATGTACATGAATACAAACCCGTTCGCCGAATCACATACCCAACCACACCTGATCGCTAGAGAGTTCCACCAAATCCAATCGTCCGATAGATCTAGACTTAAGGAGACTCTTAGGTCAGACTTTTTCAACAGCAACAGCAACAGTGATTCAAGCTCTAGTGAGGAGAACATTTCTCCATACAGGAATCCTCTCCATACAGAATTCATACCACCGCGCTTAATCGAGGTTCCGTATAACTCGTTCATGCCATTGTTCATCGGCCTTAGTGGCAAGAACAGTTCTGAAGGTTTTATTGCCCCAGAGGTATTAGCCGCGAACTTGATAATGCGAGTAACCAAAGCATTAGAGGATCCCACTGTTTTCAAATCCGATGAAATGATAGAGACGTTTATGCTCTTGCAAGATCTGCTTCGTACCATGAATAATGATCAGCTCACTGAGGTAGAGCGACACGCATTAAAATCGTCAGATGACTCAACGCGTGATACAGTCCAGAAGATCATTTACAAAACTATAGCGCAAATCGGAACAGGACCTTCCCTCATAATGTTCACAAATTGGATCAAGAATCAAGCGTTCACGGACGTAGATGCGGCAGTCCTCGTTGCGAGAATTCCCAAAACTGTTCGCGCACTTACGTCGGAATATCTGAAACACTTTCACGTAAGTAAATATTTACATACAATAAAATTTAAAACAAGAAGAGAAATTCCAATTTGCACAAAAATAGTCATATCAGTAAATTATAAATTGCGTTTTCGCATCTAAAGTATTAATTTTAATTTGTTGCAATCTGATCTGTACGCAGGAAATGATTTCCACGCCAGAAACAATGGACAAAGATGTCTTCAACGTATCCGCGCCTATAGCATTCGCTGAATTGATTCGTAGTGCCCAAGAGAGAAAAAGGTACTCACCAAACAGTTTGGGTTATGTCACGGATGAAGATTTGGAGACGTATATTTCTTACTTCGCCAAACAATTGAAAGAAGCTATTGAGAAAAATGATAGGCAACGAGTACATACATATATAGTAGCATTGAGTTATACCGGTCATCCGAAGATACTTTCAGTTTTCGAACCATATCTGGAAGGCAAGCAAGCGATAACCAAATGTCAACGTACGATGATGGTCACTGGATTATCCAGTTTGGCCAGAATTTATCCGGCATTAGCTAGATCCGTCCTTTCCAAAATCTACATGAATACACGTGAGGATGATGAGATACGTGTCGCAGCATTTTACTCTCTTATCAGAACCGATCCACCTCTAGTTACTTATATGCGCATGGCACAATTTACCAATTTCGATAGAAGCCCTCAGGTGAACTCTGCCGTTTCAACCACCATAAAGAGTCTTGCTTCGTTAAAACAGGCGAGGGCGCAAAATATCGCTATCAAAGCTCGCATCGCCAGAGAATTATTAAAAAGGAATTACGTCCACTCCTTGAACTCTATAGCCTACTATGCAGACACGGATAATGAGGACAGTATTTTGCGAAGCTTTCATGTTGAAACAATGGGGCGCGCAAAAACTGACGTGAACTATATGCGCGTAGGAATAAATATGGTAAACGATTACTTAAAACTATTCAACTTCAGATTTGGGTATGGAGTGTCAGACATTAGACAGATAATGAATGTCTTCAACGAGTATTACAACCAATTATTGCCTAAACCAGATCTACGGGAAAGATCGCTTATCGAAGAGCTCGTGAACGCACTTAATATTAAGCCCCTACCTGTAGAGCCATTCGAAGGATATATTTTTTCTGACAGCAAATATGAAACGCAATTCTATCCCTTCGACAAGAACTCTTTTGAAAGAGATATCAGCCGTAAGTATAAATTTTTATTTTAAAGAATTCTGTTTTTACACATATAAATTGTAACTGATATTGTATTACAGGTACGATAACTAATATCAGTAGAGCATTAAACGAAGATTTTAGCGTGAATACTATGTACAATCACGATGAAGTCCTCGGCTTCCCAACGGAAACTGGCCTGCCTTTTGTTCATACTATACAGACACCAATTGTACAGAAATTTATACCAAAAAATCCAAAGATATCAATTGACAAGGACATCGACCTAAAAACCTCAATCCAAATGTTATTTACCAGTAGAGTACAGAACAGATGGGGTTTCACAGTACCTTTCGAACTTCAGCAATATACGGCCGGTGTCGATAGAGATTTCTATACCTACCTACCAGCAAAAGTCGAGGTTAAAAAGCAATTTGATAGAGACCAGATTCAGTTGCAGATAGGAGTAGACCCGGCACTATTGCAAAAGAATCAACAAGATTACAGTTTGATGCACTTCAGTACTGTTCCCTTCGTAATACGACATGATGTCTTGGATCTTGAACCATTATCTCGCAACAACAAGATACATGATAAGATTCAAGAAACCTCGAAGCGCAACAAGTTCCAACTAGGTATATTCGAAATCCTAATCCAAGGCCATAGAAAAATGATAGAAACGCCGAATCTGAATAATATCGTAAAGTTGTTCTCTGCGGGTCAAGAAGATAACCGTTATAAGAAAATCGACGTATCCGTAAGTACAGCAGTCAAACCTGTTCAACTGACTATTGCACACGCTAAAAACAATATCGATACACCCACACTTCAAATAGAGATAGAGAAGGACTTAGAGAAATTTGCAGTAAATGATAAACAACCAAACAGTGAAGCGAGAAGAAAACAATTTTTGGCAGAAGTTAGCAAGGGTCTGCAATCTTCCCACAATCATGTATGGGACATAGATGTGGGATACCCGACGAATACATCACAGAAACGGTCACATCAAGTTTTCACTATCGGCGTGGGACATAGCAATGCGGACAAGAGATATCATACTATTTTCTACTGGAATATCCAGCCGGGAACAAGTGAAAATGTCGATTATGAAATTTGCGGTAATGGACGAATGGCATTATCACGAGAAACTCCTCTAGATTTGCAAAGAATGTTAGACTCGGAACAACGAGACACTTTCGAATATGTTCTGCAATATGGAAAGAATTATATTGACGGCAGAAAAGTGAATATCGTAGGAAATACGTCACAAAGTAGCGATCTGAAGAATATGTTGAGAAATAATAAAATAATCAAGGAATGCCTAAGAGATCTTAAATATAACAAAGAGTCTCAAGCTTGTCAAAAGGGATCTCACTTGGCCCAGATAAAGGATCGAGTAAATTTCTCAGTAGCTACGAATTCTGATTCGGACTCAATAGTAATTGAAATTCTTTTTAATGTTTTTAGTCACATCTATAGCAAAATAGCAAAAATAATAAAGCCAAGAGAGAATAGAAAGAACTCGATCGACGTGGAAGTTAAAATGTCACAAGATCGTGATCAAGCAGACGTTTTTGTATCTAGTTTTGACAAGGATATTTCTCTTACCTTATCCAGTTATTCCAATATTCCATCATTGACCCTTATGCCATCGACATTGACATGGGAATCATGGCTATCAGAAGTGTCACGTTGGGCATCAAAATTGTCATGGCCGTTGCCACTAGAAGCAGCGCAGCATTTAGCAACGGGATTGCTGTCATCGCGATGGCTGGAACGCATACAATCACTATGGAACCCATCATGGAAATTATTATCTCTTGAGAAGCAAATCGATTATATGTCAAAATACGCAGAGAAACCATGTAAGTTGTACATGTAAATTTTTATAAGACAGGAAAAAGATGAAAACACTTATTAATATTATCAAATATTAAAAGAGTAAACCAGAGTATTAACAATAAATATATATAAATAAGTTCTGAATAATATAATTGAATATATATAAATTGAATAATATATATATATAAATTATATATATGAAATTATATATATGAAATTATATATATTGAATAATATATATATATATAATAATATATATATATAAATTATATATATATATATATATATATATATATAAATATATATAAATTGAATAATATACAAAAGCCGACTATAAGAGCCGTACGCGCGGTAATAATCGTAAATAAGAATATTCAATGTTTATTATACTTCATTTCGATCCACTTTGAGTAAACCATTTTTAGTAAACTATCGAACACGAAAAGAATATAATAGCCAATGCAGCACAATAGACGCGTATAAAGTGAAAAGTAAATATTAAAAAAAAGGATACTTATATTTTGATTTAATATATTAATAGCATGTGTTTTAATTTGAAAATAGGATAATGCGTTCGAATAATAATACGGAAAATGATTATACCATATTTACATTTGATTTCTTAATGCTTTCTCAACTATTCTATAAGCATATACTTTTTTACAATCATATTAATTTGATAAATAAAATAAATAAAATAAAATAAATAAAATAAAATAAATAAAATAAAATAAATAAAATAAATGAAATAAATAAACTAAAATAAAAAAAATATATATTATATCTGTATAACAAGCGTATACTTCGTACAGATAAGTCATTTATAAAAAAAATTCTGTAACGCAACAATTACAAATAATTGTTAAATTTTTTTTCGCAGCTATATGCAATGTTGGCAAACGCCAGATTACTACCTTTGACAGTAAAACCTATCCCATGTATGGAGAGAAATATTGGCAAGTACTCGTGATTCCTATTCCGCCAAATGAGGAGACAATTCCGGAAGAAGAGAGAATGAGTATTTTAAGTAGGGAAAAGAATGGCCAAAAAGAGCTCCGCTTCATCCTTAATTATAAACAAATTGATATACGGAGAACGAATGATGGTATCCAAATCTCAATCGATGGACAGCCAGCCAAGCAATATAACACGCATGATAGACCAAACAACACAAGCTATCAGATCCGTGACAATGATAATGTTGATCTCGAAATTTATGAACTACCAGATAAATCAATCGAGATAAAATCTTGCACACGTGGAGTCGATGCCATATATAATGGAGAAACTATTGCAATTCGGGTGAGTAAAGTGGAAAACGGAGAAGGAAAAATTGGTAAGATTAAAGATTATTTATGGTAACACAAGAAATAAATATCAATATAAATTTTCTCATCACAGGTAGCGGATCAGTATGCCAATGAGATACGCGGTCTTTGTGGCAATTATGACTCTCGACCCGATAACGATTTCCTCAGTCCGCAAAATTGCGTCGCACAGAAACCTGAACACTTCCATGCCATGTATACTTTGATGGAGGGCAGCCACGAAAGATGGATTGCAATAAACAAAGATAAACAATATCCATGCGTTCCGGAAACGAATTATCCGAACAATGTTGTTAGCGACATAGAGGCGGGAAGACCCCCACTGGATTGGAGTCCATACAGCAGAAAGGCTTCGCGCAAGGAAATCAAAGATCCTCAAACTGAAACTCCATTCATTTATCGCACACAGATCGAGGAAAGGGATGATAATATTTGTTTCTCTACCAGACCTATCCCAGTGTGCCAAGGCAGTCTACCTGACCCCAACAAAAGAAAGATGAAGATCATTGAATTCTTCTGCTTGCCGAGAAACGAAGCTTCTGAACAATTGAAACTCAGGGTCAAGAATGGAGCCAATCCGGATTTCTCTCAAAAACCCGTCTCATTTAAGAAGCCTTATGAAGTTCCTCTTACTTGCCGAGCTGCATAATCATATGATATGTAGAGATATACCGACCGCGCATGTTTAATTGAAAGAAACGATCCTTTTTTGTTTCCTTCCTTTTTTTTTTTAGGAAACAGATATGTTATTTTAGTAATTTAGTAAAGATATGTAAGCAATAATAAAGTTGAAGATTTTCAACGTGATTACGGTTTTTTCCTTCTCATATGATATTCAATCAGATCAATTATAAGCACATTAAAATACACGAGATATATATTTACGATCATACTTAATGATAGAAGCAAAAGTGAATCTTATTGATGTAATAATTATTTACATTTATTTACATTTTCAAATTTCTTCTTCTAAGTTGCAATAGAAAATTTTAAATAACGAATAATCAAATAGTTTAGATCAGGATAATTTAGTTAAAAGACCATTTTGTCGATAGCTTTATACGTAATATTCTTACATTTTCTATTGCAAATTTTGATACACAGTTACAAGAGTTATTTATTTATTGAAACAACGCTTGTTTTTAATTATAGTAATAATAAGTAATTTTAAATTATAGTAACAATATCCAATGAATAATATTCTTCTTCTAACAAATATTTAATTTATTAAAAAAAAATACACGAGATATATATTTACGATCATACTTAATGATAGAAGCAAAAGTAAATCTTATTGATGTAATAATTATTTACATTTATTTACATTTTCAAATTTCTTCTTCTAAGTTGCAATAGAAAATTTTAAATAACGAATAATCAAATAGTTTAGATCAGGATAATTTAGTTGAAAGACCATTTTGTCGATAGCTTTATACGTAATATTCTTACATTTTCTATTGCAAATTTTGATACACAGTTACAAGAGTTATTTATTTATTGAAACAATGCTTGTTTTTAATTATAGTAATAATAAGTAATTTTAAATTATAGTAACAATATCCAATGAATAATATTCTTCTTCTAACAAATATTTAATTTATTAAAAAAAAATACACGAGATATATATTTACGATCATACTTAATGATAGAAGCAAAAGTAAATCTTATTGATGTAATAATTATTTACATTTATTTACATTTTCAAATTTCTTCTTCTAAGTTGCAATAGAAAATTTTAAATAACGAATAATCAAATAGTTTAGATCAGGATAATTTAGTTGAAAGACCATTTTGTCGATAGCTTTATACGTAATATTCTTACATTTTCTATTGCAAATTTTGATACACAGTTACAAGAGTTATTTATTTATTGAAACAACGCTTGTTTTTAATTATAGTAATAATAAGTAATTTTAAATTATAGTAACAATATCCAATGAATAATATTCTTCTTCTAACAAATATTTAATTTATTAAAAAAAAATACACGAGATATATATTTACGATCATACTTAATGATAGAAGCAAAAGATGTTATTGATGTAATACTTTACATTTATTTACATTTTCAAATTTCTTCTTCTAAGTTGCAATAGAAAATTTTAAATAACGAATAATCAAATAGTTTAGATCAGGATAATTTAGTTGAAAGACCATTTTGTCGATAGCTTTATACATAATTTTTTATTGCAAATTTTGATAAACAGTTACAAGAGTTATTTATTTATTGAAACAACGATTGTTTTTAATTATAGTAATAATAAGTAATTTTAAATTATAATAACAATATCCAATGAATAATATTCTTCTTCTAACAAATATTTAATTTATTAAAAAAAAAAAAAAAAAAAATCTTACGATAAAATTTCTAAGAAATAGAATACAATTTAAATTTGTAAAGTTGGAGAAATGAAATCGCACATACGCTCTTATTCGTTAAATATAAAAATAAAGAAAAACAGACGATAAAATGTGATTTAGCAATCGTTATGAAAACAGTTCTTATAAATAGTGATTATTTTACAAAATAACGGTTTATTTATAAAGAATTATCAATGACCTGTTATGAAGTTATGTTCTCTGTTTTTCTGCTTATCATTTAAACAGCAAATATATTAATACATTGTGGAAACACAGCTGTGAAAGATTGCAAAATCTATATCTAAAGTTACGATTATGATTACATAAGAGAATGAAAGCTGAGATGAATAAACAGTCTCACATAAATTTCGAAACTAAAATGAAAGTTGCGATTCAGATTAATTTCTTTTAATATTTAGCAAAATAATTAGAGTTTTTATAAATTTTAGGATTTTATATTGAAAAAATATAAAAACATGTGAAAAGACATGTGACGTATAAAATTCTTTATTGAAAAGGTACACAAAAAGAAAGAAATCGAGAGAATGCGCTAGACACGTTGGAAAACTGTTAAAGTTAAAGTTTAGAGAACAAATATAGATCGAAAGCAGTTATTCTTAGAAATCCTTATTTCGAAACAATTTCACAAAAATTGATTGATACATAAAATCAGATACTGCAGAACAACTAATGTACATACGTATATGTGCGTTAGAATATCCGCAAAGTGTTGATTAAAGAAGAAAGAGTAAACACATCTAATGATAAGCAAATCTTTAACTCGACAGTATTTCAATATTCTTGAGAAATAACGAGAAAAATTACAGACATTCAATATTATAATTTCAGAAACGATTAATCGATTAGAATAAAGAAAAATTAAGAGCATGAATATGCACGATTTTTAGGAATTAATGGGATTACTTTGAATACAATTACAGATTTTTTAATAAAAATAAACACATAGTTTAATATATTAATGCTTAATATATTAATAATATATTAATATAGTTAGATCTATTCGATCTTTTCATGTTATATTCAGAAAATGATTATTTACAACGAAAATCATTCTGCAATTAAGGAGATTATCATCTTGTTACTCAATCACAACTTATTACATAACAATCTTGTGAGTTATAATGACCGAAAATACTTAAGCAAAGATATAAATATTTTATTTTTATAATGTTTTATATATATATATATATATATATATATATATATATATATATATAATATTATTGTGATCTTTTCTGAAGTTTAATGCAGTTTCAGCGAATTTATTAATTTTGGCGACCAAATTTATCTTTTAAAATGTTAACACGTGATAATCATATGTCATAATAATTTCAACAAACAATTGTCTATTCTGGAAAAATTGAGAGTCTATTCCGGAAAAATTGAGAGTATCATCTTTATGATCTCTCTTTAATTCAAATTACATATTGGAGAAAACATAATTTTAACTGCCAAATTTATTTATACATTATATTTTATACATTATATTTATACATTATATTTTTTTCTTTCAATTTTTTGCAAATAATATTTTTTTAATAATTAAAATAATGTATGCTTTTAAACTGTTTTAATTTCTTGTTTTTATGTTTAAAAATCATACACAGTCAAATAGAATAATGATATTTTAAAATAGAAGATTATATTTATTTAATATAAATTTATATTAAAATATAAATCCTGTAAATGTGATTGATATTTTTTACATGTGGGATTTTTTGCTTTAATGCAGACTTTTAAAAGATAAGTTATGGTTGTGGATTGGACAGTTTAAGGAAAGTCGATGCATTTGGCAATCCATTTTATTAATAGCTTTGTACAATTCACTCGATTGCATTTCTGTGAAATTTTGTAAACATTTTCTGAAATCTTTATATTTTTGTTGATGACCTAAAATTTTACTTTTGATGATATTTCTACTTCTTTCTTTGAAAGGCTGATCTAAAGAAAATGCAGAGAGAAGTACAATTATTATCTTTAAAACTATATATAAATTATATATTTAATTTTTTTTTAAATCAGCATAAAATTTTGAAAAATTAGCACACATGATCATAATTTAATTTGCTAATCAGTTATACTTCTAAAAATGGATGCGTTCCCAGCTTCTAAACTCTTCTCAAACTCTCGAATCTCTTTTTCACATCTCTCGAAATAAGTGCTACGAAAAATTAAGGAAGGTTTACGATCGATTTGACAACTTTTGCAAGTAGATTTTGCTCTGGAAATATATTGATCGTATTCGAGACACTTCAACATTTCTTCGATGTATGTAAAACGAGTTTTATCGATTCGCGTGATGACACCTGGACGACACTTGGTCCTCAACAGATGATGCAGCTTCAGAAAGACGAAGACAGAAATATCGTATCAGCAATATTTGCATATTAAATTTCAGATAAAAAATTATGATACAAACATCTAATAGAAAAGTAATCAATTATATTACTTTAAATAAAATGAATAAAATCCCGAGCATCGCTTCTTGTTCGGTTACATTTTCCGCATATTCAAGTTCTCCCTGTCTAAATCTATAAAAAGATAACTCATGCTAACAATAGAGCAAACAATAGATGCATGCTCTTTAAAAGTGAATCAGTGTATTATCACTGAAAAACAGTAAATAGTCACTGATTACAGCAGTTATAAGTACAGCACTGTAAATCAGTGATATTTTATTGAAAGAATCAGTTAATAATTTGGACTGTTTCAATCAGTGATATTTCTCAATATCAGTAATATTTCTTTGGTTATTGTCAGTAATATTTAACTAGAATTCATCTCTCTATCTATTTCATATAAAATTAAAAATTTTATTTATATTTACTAAATATTTATTACATTAAAAATTTTATTTTATTTATATTACATATATATTAAACTTGTTATTTTAAATAGATAACGAACAAATAATTTTTATTAAGTCGCCAGACATTTAGTTGTCCGACTTATAAAGAACGATTTAATATCTGAAGCCTCTCTATTGAGCTTGTATCAGGAATTAAATCGAAGTAATACTTCTAATTTTAAATGTCGCTCTTTGTAAACTTTATATAATTCTTATAACTAAAATTAAATACGAGAGAGATAGCGATTGTAGCAGTAAATGAACAAACTAGCGATTATTGGTTTTACAGTAAAATTTACTGATTTTACAGTGAATTTTATTTTAACTGACCATAATCAGTGAGATATAAGATAAAATAACAAAAAAATAAGCGTTTCATTGAAGATCAGTAAAATACTCACTGATTCTCCCAATCAGTGAAATCTTATTTTACTGTTTAAATTTGTGATATTTTCACTGATTCACTTTTAGAGAGTGCGAACATACTTTTTCATGTTCTTCAAAGTTTCATCGTTCTTCATATAAACGTCTTTCAACCATCGTCGTAACTGCAGAAAGTTTATCTGTGTTTTTCTAATCCAGTAGCCTCTCCAAACAGCTTGGATCCTCGTCGCCATGCGATTATAATAATCCTGCCACATCTGCTGAACATGTTGAATTAAATATTGATTAGCGAACATCCTGGTGCGATAACCGCGCCAATGACGTTGTATAATCATTGCGTTTCCGTGAAGCTTACGGAGATGATTGCGAGTGACGATACCACGGAACCAAGCCTAAAATTTACAACTTTGAAATTTTATATTTATTAGTAGCATCAAAATATAGAGTCGTTTTATCATATCAGATTATTATGACTAACCTGAATTTTACGAGCCGCGATAAAGTGCAAGCGTCTCGACGATTCGGCCAAATCATGTTTAACTTTAATCGCGTTTTGCAATTCAACAGGATTAACTAAGAATCTCAACATCGACGCCATTCTTATCTAATGAATGAAAAATATGTGTTTTTGATAATGATAAATATATAGGAAACCACAATTTTTTGGGAACATTTGCAATCAACATGAATATAGTTTTAATTAAAGAAAATTGTATACAATACATATAGATATAAAATATACATATTTATATGATATACATGATATATATAAAGTATTTGTATGATATACATGATATATATAAAATATTTGTGTGATATACATGATAAATAAAATATTTATATGATATGCATGATACATAAAATATTTATATGATATGCATGATATATAAAATATATATTATTATATATTACTATATGCTCATTTAAAGAAAATACTATAGAGAGTCATTTTCACAGTCATACTTACAAATAAATAATATAGAAAATATGCAATGTAGAAATTAAATCAAGAAACGTAGGCCGCTCGCAATATTGACGCTATTCTCAAATAGGCAGAAATAATTCTGTTTATCTGGCTGATAATTCTATTAAGAGAAAAAAGTTAATATAGACTTTCAAAGGGCACATTTAACATTATTACACTTTTTTAATAAATATTTTAATCGTTCATTTTGAAACATTTTATGTAAGAGAAGTCTTGATATTTGTTTCCAATGTTTTTATATAAGAAGTGATCACAATATTCCTGAATATATCAGAATTATTAACAGAGAAGTCGATACTAACATCAACAGTACCCCACCGGCCGCTACGAAAACGTTTTTTTTCTTCTTCTCCGGAATCCTTGTTACTACGTGAAAGTCGCGTGTCTGTAAAAAAAAAAATATTCATAAATGTTATGTATCGAACGAGTGGCGATTGTCATAATCGTCTCGAGGTCAATTATTCGTGGCTTCTTATAATCTGCACGCAAGATTACTATAATTCCATTTCTTCAAACCGTTATAGTTATCTATAAACGAAGTCACGTTGGCACTAAATTACCACTCTCTAAAAGTGAATCAGCGTATTATCACTGAAAAACAGTAAATAGTCACTGATTACAGCAGTTATAAGTACAGCACTGTAAATCAGTGATATTTTATTGAAAGAATCAATTAATAATTTTGACTGTTTCAATCAGTAATATTTCTCAATATCAGTAATATTTCTTTCGTCATTGTCAGTAATATTTAACTAGAATTCATCTCTCTATCTATTTCATATAAAATTAAAAATTTTATTTATATTTACTAAATATTTATTATATTAAAAATTTTATTTTATTTATATTACGTACATATTGAACTTGTTATTTTAAATAGATAACGAACAAATAATTTTTATTAAGTCGCCAGACATTTATTTGTCCGACTTATAAAGATCGATTTAATATCTGAAGCCTCTCTATTGAGCTTGTATCAGGAATTAAATCGAAGTAATACTTCTAATTTTAAATGTCGCTCTTTGCAAACTTTATATAATTCTTATAACTAAAATTATATGCGAAAGAGATAGCGATTGTAGCGGTAAATGAATAACGAACTAACGATTACTGGTTTTACAGTAAAATTTACTGATTTTACAGTGAATTTTATTTTAACCGACTATAATCAGTGAGATATAAGATAAAATAACAAAAAAATAAGCGTTTCCACTGAAGATCAGTAAAATCACTGATTCTCAGTGAAATCTTATTTTACTGTTTAAATTAGTGATATTTTCATTGATTCACTTTTGAAGAGGAGGTATTAAATGAATTTAACAAATCGATTTGGAAATCGTATGAATTATTATGCAAATTGGCAATTTTTAATTAAATATAACATTGGTATCAATAGAATTGCGTCACAATTTACATACTTAATTAAAACGTTTCACTTTTACGAACAATATCATTAATAGTTAACAGAGAAAAAGAACATGAAAATAAATGATAATTTTTTTATACCGAAATTTCGAGGCTCTGCGTCTTTCGGAGAAGTTCGTCCAATTTCTCGCCCCTATCGATCAATTTTTGAACTCCATCCATCAATAGGCCACGTATCTCGGCCAAATCTTCCTCTAACCGCGATATCAGACTCTTAGAATTAATATCTTGACAATTATACTCCTCCTGAAATAATATCGATTTCATTTTTTGTATGACTACATTTGTGTGACTACATTTTTGTATATTATTTTTTATATTATTTTTCTTTTAAAAGATTTATAAAAGATCAATTTTGCAATAATAATAGAATTGTTTATTTAGACGAGAAGATAATATTTTGAATTTTTTAGTGAGAAAGATAATATTTTGAATTTTTTAGTGAGAAATTGATAAACTATTGTGGTATCTTCTATTTACTATAATACTTTATATACATGTAAGTAAAAGTGTCAGCGAGATATATATACATATATATAATAATTCAGTCAGTATTATTGTCATACCTTATAAAATTTTGATATCGATATAAATACATATGTGTATGATATAATATATATATATACACGATATTTTTAATTTATCCATAGGAAATTTAACAATCTAAGAATTTAACAATCTATAATATACTCCTGGAGAAAATTAACGCATAATTTTTTTTAACTTTTTCTTTAAATTTTTTCGTTAAAATTTAAATATCAGCTTTTAAAGAAAAAGTGAAAAAAAATATGCGTTAATTTTGTCCAGGAGTATATATATATATATATATATATATATATATATATATATATGTATATTATTAATAATATTTGCATTAGCAAAAAAAATCAGTGCCAACGGTACATGGTGTTCCCAAGCGGTCACCCATCTAAGTACTAACCATGCCCAACGTTGCTTAACTTCAGTGATCGGACGAGAACTGGTGCTTTACAACGTGGTATGACTGTTGGCATAAGTATTCACTTATGTAAATTATTATATATAATTATATCGATATTAAAATTTAATGAGACTAAAAAAAAATAAATTTTATATTACTGCCTCTTTTCACCTCATGTTTCATAAAATTATTTAATTACTTACAATTATCTTCCTTAAAGGTTTCGAGAAATCAGCCACTGCGAGATTGGTCAGGTCTTTCGATAAGTCCGCCAATATCGGTAATTCTCTATAAACGTCACGCAGCTTCTGAAGAAATATTTGAGAGCAGGATTCTATTTGTATTGCTGACGTAGGGCAATTCGATTTCGATGTCAGACAGGCATAATGAAGTTCCCCGATCAACACATGCACCGTATATCTGTAGAAAAATTCAACTTTATGTTCATTAAGGATGTTTTGTACCTATTTTCAAAATATTGAGAATTTAATGAAAATTGTATAGAATGTCCTTACATCTGTTTAGAATCTTTAGTACAATTTTTAAATCGATTCACTAAAGCGTACACAAATTATAAGGATTTTAATTTGCACCGAATTAACATGTGTTCTTATGGAAAACTTATAACCACGTCGATTCAAATGACAAAAACACGTGAAAATAATATTCAGAATTTGTTTAAAATTTGCAAAAGTTTAGATACAGAGGAAATATTTGGTCAAATAATATTATACGAGTACTGACTGGTTAAAAAGATATTAAATATAATTCAATGAAGTTAGCCATGTATCTGTCACAAGACGAAATTCTCTGCCAAAAGTTAATCATTTGGATTAAGGATGTTTTGTACCTATTTTCAAAATATTGAGAATTTAATGAAAATTGTACAGAATGTCCTTACATATGTTTAAAATCTTCAGTACAATTTTTAAATCGATTCACTAAAGCGTTCACAAGTTATAAGAATTTTAATTTACACCGAATTAACATGTGTTCTTATGGAAAACTTATAACCACGTCGATTCAAATGACAAAAACACGTGAAAATAATATTCAGAATTTGTTTAAAATTTGCAAAAGTTTAGATACAGAGGAAATATTTGGTCAAATAATATTATACGAGTACTGACTGGTTAAAAAGATATTAAATATAATTCAATGAAGTTAGCCATGTATCTGTCGCAAGGCGAAATTCTCTGTCAAAAGTTAATCATTTGGATTAAGGATGTTTTGTACCTGTTTTCAAAATATTGAGAATTTAATGAAAATTGTATAGAATATCCTTACATCTGTTTAGAATCTTCAGTACAATTTTTAAATCGATTCACTAAAGCGTACACAAGTTATAAGGATTTTAATTTGCTCCGAATATTAACATATGTTCTTATGGGAAACGTATAACCACGTCGATTCAAATGACAAAAACACGTGAAAATAATATTCAGAATTTGTTTAAAATTTGCAAAAGTTTAGATACAGAGGAAATATTTGGTCAAATAATATTATACAAGTACTGACTGGTTAAAAAGATATTAAATTTAATTTAATAAAGTTAGCCATGTATCTGTCACAAGGCGAAATTCTCTGCCAAAAGTTAATAATTTCGATTAACAAAATTTGGAATATTTCAGTAAAAATGCAATAAATATTTAAAAATACATCTCTGCACTGTAGCTATGATCAAATTTAATTGTGGTAATATTCCACACAATTTCTCATACTCAAAATACACCAAAAGTGGATATTCAACATTGATTTTGAACTACTTTTTGCTGGGATTGTACATACAAAACATCCTTAAATAATAACAAAAAAATAAAGCAATCTTATCTCGCATAATTAATCCACTGCAACCTATTATATAATTCATACAATTATTATATAATACTTGTTTAGCTCGTAGTATGCAATAACAAGGAAAACCGCTGACTCTCGCATTTCTCTAATATATCTCGTAATAAATTTCATTCTTTACCCTCTAATCAAAAAACAACTTTGGAAATGTACAAATCTCGAAGGAACCTTGCTTCTATAAATATCAATCTTATTATTACGACATAAATATGTATCCTTCACATACGAGAAGAATGTTTCGTGTGTGATCGAATACACAAGCTAATGCGAAGAAGGAGGATCTTACTTGCCCCGATCGACGCTGATTTTCTCATCCTCGACCGTCTTCAGACCATCGACGGTGCTGAGGGTGAGAGCACGATAGATCGGGTCCTGATCCGCGGGATAATCCGCGACGATCCTGCAACCGGTCTTTTCCCAAAGGGCCACCAGAGCGTAATGCACGGTCCCGTTCGTTTCCATTATATTGAAGAGAAGACACTCTCGCCGCGGCCGAATGACAGGCAGACTGACTATCGCACTCTCGCAGACACCAGAGGCAGCGAATATCGACGCTGCCGGCTGTTTACGCTAGCTCGGCTTGTACATAGCCCAACGAGTAAATGAGAAAGAGATTTTGATAAAGTCGATAACAACATGCTCGTGTTATGCTGTACATGAAAATTGACGGATTACAAATATTGTTTCAAGAGACACACTCTTTGCATCACCCCATCATCTACTGAATTCTCGATTTTTGCGAAGAGTTTATCTGTCACCTGATTAGGCAACTAAATATATCAAATATCTTTCGCAGCTTGAAATCAGAGGTCATAAAGACAATTTCTAAAAGTAAATCAGTGAAAATATCACTAATTTAAACAGTAAAATAAGATTTCACTGAGAATCAGTGAGTATTTTATTGATCTTCAGTGCAAACGCTTATTTTTTGTTTTATCTTATATCTCACTGATTATGGTCAGTTAAAATAAAATTCACTGTAAAATCAGTAAATTTTACTGTAAAACCAGTAATCGCTAGTTCGTTCATTTATTGTTACAATCACTATCTCTCTCGCATTTAATTTTAGTTATAAGAATTATATAAAGTTTGCAAAGAGCGACATTTAAAATTAGAAGTATTACTTCGATTTAATTTCTGATACAAGCTCAATAGAGAAGCTTCAGATATTAAATCGATCTTTATAAGTCGGACAAATAAATGTCTGGCGCCTTAATGAAAATTATTCGTTCGTTATCTATTTAAAATAACAAGTTCAATATGCATGTAGTATAAATAAAATAAAATTTTTAATATAATAAATATTTAGTAAATATAAATAAAATTTTTAATTTTATATGAAATAGAGAAATGAATTATAATTAAATATTACTGACAATAACCAAAGAAATATTGAGAAATATCACTGATTGAAACAGTCAAAATTATTAACTGATTCTCTTTCAATAAAATATCACTGATTTACAGTACTTATAACTGCTGTAATCAGTGACTATTTACTGTTTTTCAGTGATAATACACTGATTCACTTTTAGAGAGCATAATTCTTATTTCGAAAGGCACATATGCAATCTCTCATTTTGAATAGTTTTTTTATGTGAAATATTTCTAAGAAAGAACATTATTATATATATAAATATTCACATCAATAAATTTATTTAATTCTTGTTTGATATTTTATTATGTACACTGAGGAAAAAATTATCTTGAAATAAAAAAATTTTAGTTACCTCGAGAAAGCTATTTATTCGGTGGGTACTAATCACGTATTTACTTGTATTCAAAACGTCTGTTTGTTTAAGTTAAGTATTTATTTACATATGTTTAAAAAAATATATATGCTTAAAGAAATATAATTTTTATTTTACAAAATATTTATTAAAATGCATTTTTTATTCCCAAAAATTTTAAATTTTTTAATTTTGAAAAATAATATATTTAATTTAATAAATTATAATACATATTTTACGAAAATAGTATTTAAATATAAAAAATATATAAATGAAAATAATGTACTTAATATAACATGCATATTTAATTAAAATTAAATACTTTTGGTTAAATGAAATAAACAATTCCTCGCATTTAAAGCAAAAGTTTCAAGAAAACAAATATATTTGATTTAAAAAAATTTTTCCCTCAGTGTAGTGTGTGTATATCTTCTATATACGGTTCTTGTACGTTGTAAATGTGCTATATCCTTTTCTGCTTGATTACTTTTCAAAAATAATTGTAATATAAAAAAATAATTAGTAATATTAAATTACACTACACAATAAAATTATTAGTAATATTAAATCACACTACATAAAACACAGAGCACAAAATCGATCGCTTTTAATCATTGATCGAATCTCTATGAATTTATTTAGAGTCAGTCAAAGTGTTAAACTCTTTTTCCTCGATATCGCTCACCCTCATATCTTCTGGATGTTTGTCATATTTTATTCAAATTCTTTGTAGCATTTCTTATATAAGCGAAATAATAGCGAAGTTGAATTATAATAGTGTGTAATCATGAAAGCTGTATCTTTTTGTCCGACGAACGGAAATCCGGACAGCATCGGTCCATGAACTCGATGATATCAAAATCAGCTTAACACAAGATTTCAAGGAATTCTCGAGATTTTGCATTACTTTTTTAAATAATTTTTAATATTGTAGTAAAATTGAATCGATTTTTCTATAATATTGATAATTATCATATTGTCAGCTATAACTGATAAATTCGAATGACATTTCAAATGACATTTCAAATTGTAAGTGGTATCAATATGAGGTAAAAATCGAGTCAATTTTACTTTTTTTAATTCTCCCCAAGAGAGAATGGAATGAAGCAAATTGAAGACCTTGGAGAATTCCATATATGGAACATTCAAGAGTCAATATTCCAAATCAGAGATTTGATCTTAAGTACACAGTAAAAAATAAAATGTTAATTATAACATTTTTTACCCATGTCCCAGAAAGTCCACTCTAAATTTTAAGTTAAAATAATTCATTCGTCGTATGTTACTTATTGACAAACTAAAAATGTTCAATAATTGACACGATACTTTACATTTATTTTTGTTATTGTGACTTTAAATGATGTAAAAATAACATACAAATTAATTAAAAATTACATGAAAAAATAGTTACAATAACTCGTAAGAATTGTTGTAGGAGATTAACATATAACAGTTATTATTTTGACTTAAATTATTTGTAATAGAAACATTTGATTTTAGTAAGTTTGATTATTTTGTACGTCAAAGTTCAAGATTATTTGAAGATTTACTTTAACTTTTCCTAGAATGTTAAACTGACTTTGAGATTGTTGATTGTTTAAAATTTTGATTATGTTAAAAATACTCAAAATAATATTCCATTTCTAAGAATCATATACAAAGTGTTAAGTTAAAAAGTTGACGTAAATGTAACACATGAAAACGTTATAAAAATAATAACATATAAGTTGTATGTTAATTTTACGTTGAAGTATTGATCAAATCTTGTGGTAACACAAGAAAATTTTAACATATGGACGCACAGTTTATTACTGTGTAAGAGCTCCCTCTTATTGTTAGCTGATAATCATTGTACTGCTCAGCCATTCATGGTCATATTCTGTATTCCTTCTACTCGTTTACATAATGTTTCTTGACGCTTACAATAGGAAATATGGAAATGTATAATATTGATAATGTGAAAGTTCATCCAACGAGATAACTTTCAATATAAGGAATAACGAAAATAACAAATATAACAATATAAGGTCGAAGGTCCTGATGCGATTCCAAAAGTTTTCGACAATTTCCAATATACTGCGATAAATGTTTTCAGCAATCGGAAGGATATACGCAACATTAGAAGATAGGAAAATGAGATCGAAGAAATATTTACAACTGCAAAAGAAAGCAATTCTGTTAGTGCCATTTTTTTATGTAAGTGAGGAGCATTTTATAAAAATTAATTCTTTTAAAAGTTTTAATTAAAGACAGAACTTAATATTATTATTAAGAAGATTTTGTAAAGAAAGCTTATTCTTTTATAGAGCTCGTTCATCAATTCCTGAAACAAAGCAATTAATTTCGATTTATAATTTAAATATTTTATTTAATATATATAAACATTTCATTTATATAAATTTGATTTCTTTTATATATTCTTTCCATCTCCTTTTTGCTTTTAATCCTAAATGTTTCTATTTTTTTTAATTATTAAAAAATCGAGATAAAATTTCATCAGTTAAATGTGAATAAAATGTGAATTAAAATAAGAATCTATTATCTAATTTATGTGTATTTTTTAAATTTAATATACTGTCTTTCATTTCAAAATATATGTAACATATTTTTCTCTTTTACAGTCAATAAAGCCAGCTGTATGGAAATGAATGGCGAGATTTGCACAGACATAATGATCTGCTATTATGTTAAACAAGCACTACTTTGCACAAAGTGCTTTGCGGATTAATCCTATCAAAGCTCTTCATAAATTTATAAAACGTTATAATTTCTTAATTTATAATCTTCTACATTTTGATTGATAGATTTTTTAATATAATAACTTTATTTTTAAAATGATGATAACTGACAAATATTGCACATTACTTATTAAATATCTTATCAAGCGAAAACAGATATTAACTTTACTGGCTGTCGTTTATATGCGTTTGTTTATTACCAACGTTGGATAAAATTAATGTAACGTTTTATCTTTAATCACATTGTGCTCTTATCAATATCTGTGCACAAGAAAAATCAAATCAAGAGAGACGCATCTTCAAAATCCTCCGTCTTACTTAAACTTCTATCAAAGTGAATTTTATTTAATAATAAGTGCAATAAAAGCGAGATTTTTTTAAATATAATTAAGATTAAGACAAAAATGTGATAATTGAATTTTACTATATTCAATTCTTCCTCTAAAACGCGACGAGCGGATATTTTCGCTGTACGTGAAACTGGAGCAGATTCGAAAAATCTCTCTTTGAAATTGCATTCAAATACTCGGATCTTCACGCGTGTAAACGGATATCCCGCGAAACGCACATAAAGGATACCCGATAACACTACTGTGCCTTGATGTTCATTTGTTCATGGGAAAATAAAAATAAAATATTCCATTCGCATATATAAATATCATTAACACAGGGTGAGTTTTATTTCGCGTGTCAATCTTTTTATCAGACGGGAGATTATCGACTGCATAATAAATTGATCGGTATATAAATGTCAATTTTTTTGATAGACCGTATCGAAGGTTTGAATATAATGTGTACAATAATAATAATAATAATAATAAATACGTAGCTTCAATAATAATAATAATAATAATAATAATAATAATAATAATAATAATAATAATAATAATAATAATAATAATAATAATAATAAATCCATACTACATAAGTTCAGATTTAAATTTGCTTTAATTTTACACATTATATTCGAGCATTTGAAACGGTCAATCCAAATAATTGGCAATTATGTACCGACAATTTATTATGCAGTCGATAATTTCCCGCATGAAAAAAAGACTGACACACGAAATAAAACTCACCCTGTATAATATAA